CATGTCTCACTGGGCAGGAAAAGGCGACGGGAAAATGTCAGCCCTGGGATCAGATTGACCAGAGCCAAGGGAATCAGGATGTCCCCCACCCTGGCTCTTGGCTTTTAGAAATCATTAACATTTCAATGTGGGTGATCTCATGAACTCCCTACCTTTCCACAGCCTTTTTCTGAACTCCTTAGCATCTTTTCACCTTTTCATTGAATTACAAACTAGTCTAACAGAAAAGCAGTGCCAAGTTTCTTATCCCGGCCACCTTCAGTGTACTTGAGGAGGGTTTTGCACAATAGTGATAAAAACACAGTGCAGGGTGTGATATAGATGATCATGTGATGTACATTGGTGGTAGGTGTTTACCATTAGTTCTTCAGGGGACGGGGAATATAGTGATGATAATTTATTGTTTTTCGGTGGTCTGATTCATTCTTAGCAGGCTTAGGGAGAACCATTTGTATTTGTTAGCTTTTTATTTTTTATTTTTTGATCCTTAATTATTACTTCTAAATCATTTGGACAACATGCACTTACTACTGTACACACCTTTAAATGAGGGTTGCTGTGGGCCAAGAAATGTTTATTTATTATCATTATGAGACTCTCCAACAGTTATTTCAAACTTTATTTGTTGGTGGCTTCATGTTGCCCATTAAAAAAATAAATCAAGTAAATGATGTAAAAGAGGAAGCTTGGTTTGGGAACACAGCCTCCTGAGTTTGAAACTTGCCTTAAACTTCTACTGGCTGTACAGCCTTGCATAACTTACTTTGCCTCTCTGAGTAAATAAAAGTATATCGCTAGAGCTCAATTTCTATTCCAATTCCATTATATACATTCTCCAATGTTTTCCAACCTAACCTTTATATAAGGATGAAATTGAATAACGTTTTAAAAAAGCATTTGGCATGTAGTATGCATTCAGATGAAACCTATTTTGTGTTTTTATTATGATGATGATTATCATAAAGGATAAAGAAGAGTGGTCACTTGATCTTATGTATTTCACGGGCAGACCCTTGCTGAGCACGTGTTGTGTCCTGTAGAAAGAAGGTAGTAGAGCAAACTCTCTTCCCCTTTCCCATAACTTGGAATTGTAAAAATTAACCACCAGCCAAACAATACAGTCAAAGATTTGAGGGGCCACTAGCATGACTTATATTTAAGACCCTGGATCACAGATTAAACGTCTCCTTTATTTTGGCTTTAAGACGACGTTGCTGGTTGAACTCCACGTGTCGGAATCTGTGCCTCATCCTACTCCTGTGTTTAAATCTTAACGGCCAGCTAGCCATTTCTCATTCCAATCTTGGCGACCCTGGGTTTACTTCCCTACCCACCAGCCTCCAAAGTTACTTCTGGATGGCTACATCTCCTAAGAGAATCAGTCTGGGTCGGAGTCGGACACAGAGTTTTGCTTTCCCAGGTGGTTTTCAGGAGTGCATCTTCTACTGGTCTCAGAAGTGACTGGCCAGCCTCACAGCGGTGTGGCCTCTGTGATTGGAAGGGGTGACAGCCACCTCTACGTGCCACACCCTCACCAGCTGTGGCTGTCTTGCCCTGACTACCCTCCCCTGGGCCCCCAGACCTGTTGATCGTTTTCACCTGCAACACCTTTTTCCCCTGGCTTATTTCTCCCCTCATCATTTTTTTTTTAAAGCAAGGCCTTGCTTTTGCATCTTGTTAAAAATAAGTGAAAGCTTTGACAATGAAAATGTTTCTCTTCACAAAGCTGTGAGAGCTCTATTCATTCTGGGATTAGTTAATTCTCGTGACCTTTTAACTAGACAGCACTTTTGCACACTTAGATGAGATAATTGATTCTAATGGGGAAAGAAGCACTGCTCATTTAACTGCACACATTGGAGTTGTCTGCAGCTCAATTTCTCCATTACCTTTGGAGTTGCCAATACACACATTAAAACAGTAAGGAGGTAAGCAGAAATGTGAGCTAACTCAGCCTCAGAAGTAGCAGAGTATTCATTCCTTCCAGGCTAGCTAACTGTTCTGTTGTGATTGTCAACTACACAGAGGTAGCAGAGAGCAATGCAGAGAACCTCAGAGAGTATCTGGTGCCTAAAAAGGTACTCAGTAAACAGCAGCAGCTATTGTCGTTATCATTATCATCAGTGGTACAAATACATAGCATACCATTGACTGTATTATAAAATAACAAAATATATTAAAATAATTATAAAATATGGTCATCACACATATGTAAAAATAAGTGAAAGCTTTGACAATGAAAATGTTTATTTGGCTTTACAAATAAAGTAAAGCAGTAGTAAAATATTAGAAACCAGTTCATCAACAAGGGGCAAGATAATTGACAGCCACACAACAAAACAGTATGCTACAGTTTTGCTACAGTTTACAAAGCATTTTACCACATCTTTCCTTGTTTGATACAACAGTCTTTGGAAATTGCTGAAATTTCTATACCCATTTCTCAGATGAGAGGACTGCAGTTAGGAAGTAGCAGTTAGGATTCAAAACCAGTTTTCTTACTTCTGGTCTCATGCACATTTTCCTGCATCACAGTAACCAAAGAAAAAGCAACCGATCAGATCTCATTGCTATGACCAGAGCGTGGCCCTTGGGCTAAAGCAGACCTGCGTGTCTTCCTGGATGGCTCCTGTGTGGACTAGAAGTCACAAGGGCGCCCAGTGCTCCAGTCTCCTCGGCAGTGTGTCGTGTTTTGAAGGCAGTGGCACAGCCCCTCAAAACCGCCATCCCTGACACCTCCCGTAAACTGGGCCGGGCAACACAGCTTCCTCTCCACCTCACAGGACCTGTGTTGCCACCTAAAAGAGACTTAAAAGCACTGGGGACTATTTGATGTCTAAAGGGGATGTCGTTATAGCACCCACCTTGCTGGATACAGCCAGTGAGAGGTGGCCTAGCAAAGCGGGTGGAGCCCCGGTCTTCACACCAGGAAGACTGACCACTGATGGCTTGTGTTTTCAGGGTTTGAACAGTTTGGCATTCGAGTCTAGACGCTGCCACTTGTTAGCAGTTTGACCTTGCATATGTTAATTAATCTTGTTGTGCTTTAGTTTCTTCGTCTGTAAAATGAAGTTATTGTCTTTTAAGACTTGTGAGAGTTGAAGGAAACGTTGCTTTTAATACTCTTAGCACAATGCATGGCACATAGTAAGCATTCAGTGAATGATAGCCTTATAATTATCATAATTTTAATCAACCTTCTGAGCCTTAATGTGCACCTCTGTAAATTGGGTTTGGTGAGGTTGCCGTGAGCATTACATGTAATATATACAAGTCACCCAGCACACTGCCTGTCACACAGTAGGTCCTTAGTAAATACAAGTACTTATGGCCTTCATATCTCTGTAGATCCTTCTCTGTCTTCCAAGCCCTCCTAATGTATCAGTTACCCCCCTAGGCTTTCTAGTTCTTCTGAGTAGACTTTGTTATTTGTCCAGCTTTCCTACTTGACTGTGAGCTTACTGAAGCAGGGACTGTCTGATTCAATGCTGGCTCTCTAGAATCTGTCATAGAGTGGGCTTTCAGAAAACATCCATCAATGGAACAATAGTAGTGAGTGCTACATGCCACACACCAGATGCTGTGGGAGTCCAGGGGCTCCAGTGCTTGACTCCTTGCATAGGGATTTTGGGGTAGGCATCCTGGAAGAGGTCCGTCGGGACCATTGACAAGGCCCAAGTCTTGAATGCTAAGATGGGATGTAAGCAGACCTTTTGAACTAGATCACAAAGCTTTTTGGAACAGGCTTCCTAGCCTTATCAGGCATTGTGCGTCTCAAGGGATAACGTTCATTCTTTGGCATCCTCTGGTCTCTTCTAGATTGTTGTACATGACTATTTAGCAGTTGCTGTCTTGGAAAAAAGTTTTTAAAACAGAAATGCATGCACATGGTACAAAATGAAAATATACAAAAGATGTATAGTGAAAAGCAAGTCTTCCTTCCACCCTTAATGCATACTGTCTCTTTCTTTCATAGGACAAACCCACTGTTACCAGTGTCTTTCTTATATTTCCAGAAATATTGTGTACATATACAGGAATTTTTTTAACACAAAGGTGGAGTATATCAAAAATATTTCTGCATATTGTAGTTTTCCTTCCAGAAAAATACATAAAGAACATCCTCACTTTTTTATGGTGGCATACTGTTTTGTTGTGTGGCTGTCAATTATCTTGCCCCTTGTTGATGAACTGGTTTCTAATATTTTACTACTGCAAACTATGCTGTGGTGAATAACTTTGTACATCATTTAGTACATGTATGAGTATATCTGGAGGATAAATTTCTGGGATGGGGACATTTAAGTCCCAGATAAAATGTGTGTTTTAAATGTGCTAGCTTTTATCAAATTGCCCTCTGTAGGTTTTGTCCCAGCTTATTCTCACACCAGCAAAGTATGAGAATGCTTGTTTCCCATCCTCTGCCAATATAGTGTATTTTCAACCTTTTTTATCTTTGCCAAGCCATATGTGAAAAATAGTATTTCAGAGTGTGAGTTACATTTCTTTTACTATGAGTGATGCCAAGAGTCTTTTCTTATGATTAAGAGCCATTTGTATTTCTTATTCTGTAAACTGTCTGTTCACATCCTGTGCCTATTTTCCTACCGAGTTGTTGGACTTTGCTTATCATTTGTAAGAGCTATTTTTATGCTAAGAAAATTAACTCTTTGTGATACAACTTGCAATTTTCTGCTTAGATTGTTATTTATCTTTTGAAGCCAAAAGCTAAGAGCTCCTGAAACTCCCCCTTCTCTGTTCCCCTCCCAGCTCTACCAGACTGTGAGCCCCTCGGGGGCAGGGTCCACACCTCAACACCCCCCCCCCCCCGTGCACCCACTCCCCTTTGCAGGCTGGCACTGCAGGAGCTCTCTCTGGGGCTGTTTGTTGAACTGAGCAGAATGCCTGTCTTCCCCACCCCGCCCACCCTTCCCTGTGGCTTGGGAGTTCCGTTTCCACCTCCGGCAGAAAAAGATGACTTTTCTCATTGCTCACCACAGCCATGCACCTGTTTGGCCTAAACTGGCACCTGCAGCCGATGGAGGGGCAGATGTATGAGATCACGGAGGACACAGCCAGCAGTTGGCCTGTGCCAACGGACGTCTCCCTGTACCCCTCAGGGGGCACTGGCTTAGAGACCCCTGACAGGAAAGGCAAAGGAGCCACAGAAGGTAGGGTTGCTGCGTTGTCCGTGTCGTGAGTCCTCTGTGTCTGCCTTCGTGCCGAGGAGACCTCCGTCATGCGCGCCATGTGCCTGGCTCACAGCTCCATGCTCTCGTGCTTCCTCCATCCCTGCACACTCCACGCCGGCTGCCGGTCCACCTTTGTCTCCATCGCAGTTCCTTGTCACAGAGCTCATGCGGGGCTTGGGCAGGGCTCCTGGTGCTCAGCGATGTCCCATCCCATGCCTCGAGGGGGCGTCACACAGCTGGGGTGGCCATCTGTGTGGGGTCTGACCAGCCCTTCCGGGCAAACGTCACGGGACAGACGAACGGACATCCGTGGGAGTGGGGTATGGTGTGTGGGTAGACGGTGTGTTGTGATGGAAAGATTCTCGGACTCTTGTGGCTTCGTGGAAACACCGCTGCAAGTGGTCTAGCATTTACCAACCATGTGACGCTGAGCGAGACACTTAATTATCCTGAGTTCCACTTTCCACATCTGCAGTGATAATAATCATTAGCATTTGTGCAGCTTGTTTGTTTGAAAGCTTTTTGTCAAGCGATTGAGTTTTACATTTAATCCTCACAGAGATCCTGTGAGGTAACTCACAGGAATTATTTATACCCTTCTAGATGCAAAAACTAAGGGTCACATTAATAAGTGGCTTGGCTGGAGTCACAGTGAGTAGTGGAGTCTGGACTGTGAGCCCAGGCCTGTGACTCCGGGGCTCTTGCTGTCTCCATGAGCTTCCCCACGTGACTCAGCCCAAGCCTTGCAGGATCCTGAAGGAGATGTGGACTTGAAATTCTGTTGTACAGTGAGACACAGATATTCTCTCTCAGTGATGGAGATGGTGGCGTTTGGCTTTGGCACTCTTGAATGGGACATCCATAGACCCATGTTCTGAATGTCTGAGAAGTCTCTCCAACATGGTATGGACACAAATCCTTTCACTGTCAGCCCAAAGAGTGGCACAGACTCACGAAAATTGGTACCAGGAAAGATGTCAGAGCTAACAAGCCAGCCCGGCTGTCATTCTGGGCAGTGTGGCCGTTCCTTCTCCTGCCTCTGCTGTGACCTGCCTTATCTCTCTGGTATCCTGTCAGTCAGCAAAGTGGCCCTAGTTTCCTCTAACCCTTACTGCTTCTTTCTTCTTTCCTCTCAGCTCAGTTAAGTTTGGGGTCATGGCTTTTGAGCTTCTCTGTCCTTACAAGAACTTGCCTTTCAGCAGTCGGTTTGGTTAGCAGGGTGGCATATGTTTGGGCATAGTGGCTACTCATGACCTCTAAAATGGTGATCCAGAAGGCCAAAATCAACTCTTGGCCTGTGGTCATCTTTAAGGGAGGTGAGGACTGGGAGCATTTCCACAGAGCCAAGCCCAGTATTTTCTGGGGCAAAACCAGTCCTCCCCTTTGCAGATACTTTCAGACTTAAAACATGGAATAACTTATACTTTATTTGCCCCTTAGTGGGATATGGAGGGAAGTATCATGAATGGGGCCGTGGGAGGAGCTCTGGGTTAGGAGTCAGAGTCCCTAGGTATACATCTAGCTGCTGCCACTGACCTGTGGGGTGGCCTTAAGCAAACCCCTTGAACAGACTTCCTGGGCATCATTTTTCTCCTCTTCAAAAGGAGGATATCGAGCTAGATTCTCTCCAAGGTACCTTCTCATTTGTAAGTTATGTGTATGGAATTAGTCACAGAAGCATCATATAACAACTGGACAGCGCTTCCAAATTTTTTTTCAAGTTGGCCCTGTCCATGGTCCTGCTTGTTGGCGTGTGGTGCCCATGTCAGCCTATAGTGTCAGATGCCAGGCTGATACCATAAAGTGAGGACTGCCTTAGACCAGCATGTACGAATGTAGATTTAAAGTATACCCAACCCTCAGGGAACTGGTGAAGGATCTCATTTAGCAAAATGTATTTTCCTCCCTCCGTGATCTCTATCAAACCTTCTTTAAACAGGAGTTGGATCTATCTGAAATCTCCCACTCTAATGAAATTAGTTTGTGGGTTGTTTAGGTTTTGTTTTGTTTTTCCCAAGGAGCAGGAGGTACAGATAAGAGACAAAATAAAATTGGAGCAGTTTATTGGTTTATTTTAATTGGAGTATTTTTGCTTAAAGGGATTATCTGTCATTACTGATGCAAATGGAAATCCTGTTTACAAACCCCTTCAATGCAGTGCAGTGCTGGGAAGTGGTCAGCATCAAAAGCAATTACTGTGACGAAAAATACATCAGTCTGGAAAATCAGAGGACAAAGGTTCCTATAGTTTCTGTGAGACCACATGGTTCTCAATTTCTTTTGCCCTGTCCATAGCAATGTCTACTCAGTTTATGTTTGTAATTGTGATGTTAAAAATGTAGTTCCTTAAACATATCTCAGTAGAGAAAGTCTTTAATCCTGATGGGAGTATGTATTTCTTATCCCATCTAAAGGTATTTGAGAAGAGAGCTGATTCCAGAATTAAGATTAGAGTCTCTGCTCCACAATGATGGGGGGAAGCAGTATAGTATGACAGAAAGAAGAAAACTCAGTCTTAGAGCTAGACAGTTTTTGGACCTGACCACACCTTATATTGTCTGTGTTAACTCATGACTGTTACTGCACCTCCTTTGACCTCCTAATCTGTAGAACCGGGATGATAATACCTATCCTTTCAAAGCCTAGGGCAAAGAAGCCCTCAACAAATATTAGTTCCCTCCTTGTCCACTCAAATCCCAAGCTATCCCTCATAAGTTATTAAATTTCCCCAAATCTAGATTAATTAACATTTCCTCCAGAGATCCTGCAAAGGTTTAGGGTATTTTTGAATGTTTTAAAGGATATAGATTTGTTTAATTATATAATACAAATTAAATATATGATAATCCCAGTATTGTCAATGTTCACCATGTCTTTGAGAATAACAACAAACTGCAGTTCGTACTATATTTTCAAAATGGCTGTAACCGTTTCAGAGCTGTCAAGGGACAGAAACCAAATACAGCAGCCTTTCAAAGTAAAGCCACAAGAACTTGTGTTATGCATTAATGGGGAAGGCGGGGGAATCACTGAATAAACAGGCATTTCTGATGGTTGAATTGGTAGGCTAGGGATAGCATTTTCTTCTTTCTTCAATGAAATCAGAATTGCCCATCAGTTTGAACCATGCAAATTGCCGTGCGCAGGCTCAGCTGGGCTCTCCAAAATGGAACATCTTATTTTGATAACCAAATAAATTTCAAACAGTTGCTAAGGAAACTAAAGGATTCTTTGTGCAAGTTCTTGCACTGCAAAGAACCAAAAAGGTGGAGGGAGGGGGAGAATGTTAGTTGCTTAGGAGTTTAGAACCTAAATAGATAGGTCTCAGTTCAGGAAAGTAAAGACCGTGATTGGGAAGTGCGTGGAATTCCAGTGCTTCCAAATCTTGCTTATTTGACTGAGCTATCCAATCATTTCAGCAATTTGTTGAGAAATTGCTTTTATGGACATGATTGCATATTTGCACAGCATTGCTGTAGGAAGCCTGAATCTGTCTAGCTTTACAAAGCAAAGGACTGTCTCCAGTGGAATCTGCCCTGTGAAATCTATTCATGCTCTTGGGGGGCCCTAATGCTGAACTGAGCTCTTCATACTGTTTGTTAAGCCTCCGGGGGTACCCAGTGATGGTATGGTATCCTTCTCCTGAATGTTTTGAGACCCTGACTGTTGCTCTTTAACTTTGGGACCTGTTTTCAAGTTCCAATTCATAAAAATGATGACCCTCTTGTATCCTAGTGTAACAGGAAATTCTTAAATGGGCCTTGGATCTAGCTTGTCTAGCTTTGATATTTAGCCTGGCACTGGACTCCTGCTCTTTAGAAGGGTCAGTGCACCCTAACACCACTGAGAATGTCTTTATAGAGTTTTGATTAGTCATTCCATTTAGAGCTCTTAGAAGCCGTATTCTAATAAATAAAGAAGGAACCCAAGTGGTTTCATCTCAAAAAGGTTTCTTTTTATTATTATTATTATTATTTTGTAGAAATGGGATCTCACTCTGTTGCCCAGGCCAGTCTCGAACTCATGACCTTAAGTGATTCTCCCACCTTGGCCTCCCAAAGTGCTGGGATTATAGGTATGAGCCACTGTACCCAGCATCTAAATGTTTTTTTTTAAGCATTCTGAGCCTCAGTATGTAGAATTTAATCTTGTGAGAATTAACTGAATTGATACATGTGACGGTGCTGCCAGCGTGGTTGGAGCTCATTAAATGGTAGCTAATACTACAGCTGATACTACCTCTACCTTTATCGTTATTTCTACCACTAATGTATATTGTTATTATTTTTATTGTTATTATTTTCCAGAATGTAGGTAGGGATAAGAAGAACTTTATACACAGGGCTTCCCTCCTCCAATTGCCTCTACCCTCTGCCCTCCCTCATTACTCCACCATGGGTAGGTTTTGTTTCGCGGTGGGGTATTTTATATCCTAGTGCTCACAGCTTGGTACTTAGAACTAAGGACAAAGACTCTCATGTTAATAGGATCTAGAAGGTAGAAAACAATAAGGGTTTTCAAAAGGCAAGAAAGGAGGAAGGCATTTCACTCTGCCAATCCTCGGCACAGCCCTCTTCGCCATCGGGTAAAGGTGAGCAGCGGGCTGCCGGCTCTTTCCCCTCCACAGCCCCAAGCCAGCCCTGTGGCTGGAGTGTGGAGACTACCAGCAACCAGAGGCTCTTGAGTTCCTGGCAGAGGATATGTGCTAGACCAGAAGTTACTACTTTTATTTCATTGTATACACACCCAAGACAATCCTTTACCTCCCATCCAGCCCACCTAGCTGAAATACTAGAGTGCTGGGGGGAAAAAAAGTCCCCTTCTATCACCTCCTGTGGGGTAAGAGCCAACTTATTTATGCCTCTGAGGGCCTGCAGACCTCTGGGCGTGGCCTCTATCTATAAGGCTGTAGGACCTACCTGAAACGGTAGCTGGCTCCTAAAAATACACTCACTGGGGGAGAAACCGAGCTATGCAGGGTTCTCCAGCAGCATGCTAAAATGGGAAGCAGTTTTCCATTATTTATTTTCAGAACATAAGAATTATTTGAATGCAGACAGTTCTCAAATCGCATCAGCTCTGACTCCCACCTACTCACAAAGGAAATGAGTCCCAGGAATTAGCAGTGTGGCACTTATTTCTTTGCAGTATTTAGGAGTAAGAAGCTCAGAACTCATCTGCTTTCGTTTCATACTCCCTCTTAATTCTACCTCCCTGGTAGAATTAAAAGCTGCGGGTATACTATTTCCTACCTGGGATTTAGAAGGGTTGTGATATTTGGTAAGCCAAAAATCAGATAAGAAGGAATATGAATAATTCTCTCCCATCATAATGCTTTGTGAATTTGGCTTCTGTCTTTGAACTTTGTGAATCACAGTGTGGTGGTTTGTGTGTCTGTATTTTGAAGGTAAAAGTCTGGGGCACATTCCTTCCATAAAGGAATTAAATGCAAACTCTTTCCCATGCTAATGACAGAATACTAGTGGTCCTTTTATTGATAGTGTGAATTTCAAATTCTTTTTGTTGGCATATTTTTAATTAAAATAACATTTAATGGTTTGAAGCTAAAGACCTGATGTTTCTGTGCAGGCGTTTATACAGGAATGATAACATATGGAGAAGTTTAACATTTAAATTGAATTTTATTATTTAAAACAGTAAAATATTTTATGACTATAACAATGCCCTGCCAGGCTCCATTGCAGCATCAAATGTGCTTTGTAAGGAGTCTTACAAAGCTAGAGGAAAAAAGACATTTTAATTTCTTATTCCCCAAATGCTTTTCATAAAAAGTTCCACAATGTGTTTTCTTTACGAATGAATTCTTGTTCTCTAAAGTGTCTCTTCGAACATCTCTAACAGCACACAAGCCTTGGAACTAAGATACCCCAGGGGTCCTTTGTAATGACAAATACAATATAGTGTGTTGACTTGACTTTGGATTTTCAGTGTCCTAAGGGTGGTCTCCTGACATCCCTGGAGTTTCCCCCCAGCTCCCTCCCAACTCTTCAGAAGGCCGATGTCTGGCAGGAAGTTAGGGTTTCAGTTTTTCACATGTGAGCATTTAATTACTAAATAGAGGAAATTCGATAAGCAGCCCTCCTTCCTGGCACTTGTGTCGCCCCCACAAAGCTGTCACCCTCCTGACTCGTGACAGAAATGGCCAAGAGACCTTACTCCTGATCCCCTGCATGGATGCTGGGCACAGGGTTGGGAACCTGGGTTGAATTGCTAAGTATGGCATAGACTTTGTGTACAAACTTGAGAAATTCCCTCAACTTTACACACTTTAGCACAAAAATAATATTCACCCTCATCCAAAGACAAGTGTTTTGCAGAAATTGTTCCTTCCTTCAAAGCGCCCTCTTCTTTATCTTCCCCAACCCATAACTCTGCCCCAAACACAAACCCCCATCCACATATCTCGGCCTCAGAATTTGGCTTCCAGTGTATACACAAGCTAGTAACCTTTTAAAATACCCCACTCCACTCAAGTCACACTTCCCACTGCCTGGGGAATCATCCTGAGTTGGAAACTTAACAACACCACCTCGTCCCCCTGTCCTTTCTATTTTACCATGTTCCCCTTGACACACACACAAAAGCACAGAATTAATCTCATGTGACTGCAAATGATTATTTTTAGGATCAAAATATATCTTAACAAGCTACGGAATTATGCAGTAAACAGATGGCCCTTGGGGAGGGCCCATACTGCTTTGGAAGAATGCATATTTCTAGCAGAACAATTTGAGCATCACTGGAGAAAAAGAAGTTCTGGACTTTCTTACTCCTCCATGGGGGTCGGGGGATGTTGGCAGCAGAACATCGTAGGGAGGAGTTTGAGGCTGAGGGGAGTCCCAGGTGTTGAGACGCGCTGATTCCTTGCTTCACGTGTGGCTAACTGGGATGCTTTTGTCTCCCCTCCCCTGTGTCTTGGTAGGAAAGCCCAGTAGTTTCTTTCCAGAGGACAGTTTTATAGACTCTGGCGAAATCGATGTGGGAAGACGAGCGTCACAGAAGATTCCTCCTGGCACTTTCTGGAGATCTCAGGTGTTCATAGACCATCCTGTGCATCTGAAATTCAATGTGTCGCTGGGAAAGGCAGCTCTGGTTGGCATTTATGGCAGAAAAGGCCTTCCTCCTTCACATACACAGGTAACCAGAACCCCAGGTACCCTGTTGATCTTCATGGGCTCTCACCTCAAATACTAACCCAGAGTCAGGAAGCCCAACCTGGATCCTTGAGCCTGAAGGGAAGTGCATATATTTTATAGCCCATTCATCCATTTACCCCCTCTCAGACTCTACCTTTCAGATGAGTAAGATATCCCTGGGGCTTTATAAGAGGAAGGAATTCTAGGAAATCTCTTAATGGCCTTTCTGCTATTACCTAATCTCGTAAGTTAAATTGTCCTGGAAATGTGATCTAGAGAAGAAAGCATGCACTTTGCAGTCAGACAGACCTGAGTTTGAATCCTCTTGTTATCAGCTGTGTACATACCCCTGGCTTCATCACTTCTGTCAAAGCAAGTTTCCTGATCTATAAGATGCCGGTAACAATACCCATGATGCAGGGCTGTTGTGAAGAATAGAGAGTAGCACAAGGCAGCCGGTGCAGCCCAGGCTGGGAGGAAGTGTCACTTCCCTGGCCGAGTGTGTCCTTCTCTCTCCTTCGGGGTCGCACATTTGCTCAGACTCGTGTACACCAGAAGCACTCGAAAAACCTCATCCAGAGTGATTGTTCTTTGCCAGTTATGTATGACTGGTCCAGTGCATCAGAGGCTTGTCCAAGGTCCTCCAAGCTCTAGAATTGGAGGAATATAAATCATCAGCATCCATCTGGCTTTCCCAGGCCAAATGCAGTCTTCCCAGCCCTGGTAGTTATTAACACTTAAAATTTTAGTTAAAAGTTAGATGGATACATTGGCTCTGAAGGAAGTCACAGAAAAATAGAGGGGCCTGTGGCCCTGTTGACTCAGAACTGCCGTGTCCTGGAATTCATAGCTCAAGTTTTATGTGAGATAGAATAAGTAGCTCTCTTGTTGGTTTGCTTTTTAAAAGATAGATAGATAACTACTCAATTTGCTTCTTCTAGGCCAGTAGGACTTAACCATCTACCTGTTGTTAGCACCGTGTGACTGGCTTCTGGAGTGTCACACAAGCAGTCTCCAATCAATTGGCAACTGTATTTGACACAGCATTTAAGTGTTGATAGAGTTTTGAGCTGATCCAGTTTAGGCCCCTAAATTTGTTCCCTGAAACTGGAGTGCTTAGCAAGGACCATTGACAAAAGAAATGTAGATATGAATCAAATTTTCATTTGCACATGACTGGCATTTCAGGCCTGTCCAGGGCTCCAATTCCAGTCCTAGCTCCTGAGATTCCTATTGTTACTTGCACAGAGTTCAACTGATCAAGAGGTTGCTGGGTTTTTAATCATGTGCGCACCACTGAAAAGCGTGGTTATCCTGGTACAAACTCATCCACCCATACAGCAAAAATTAAAATGCAACTAAAAAATAATCCACTGCTGATGCCACACTCACAAGAGCATTAGGGGAATATTACCATGAAAACATGGGGCCTGGGAGAAGTTTGATCAGCCTTCCTGCGGCTGCAGCCTGTCGCATCTCTCTCAATTCGCGTTTCCCCATGTCCTTCCCGGGAGAAGCAAGGAGCAGGAACCTGGCGTGTGGTGGAGCAGACCCACTGCTAACTGTGCTTTCTTTGTCCTTTAGTTTGATTTTGTGGAGCTTCTGGATGGAAGGAGGCTCCTGGCCCAGGAGGCACGGAGCCTGGAGGGACCCCAGCGCCAGTCTCGGGGAGTGGTCCCCCCCTCCAGCCATGAGACCGGCTTCATCCAGTATTTGGATTCGGGAATCTGGCACTTGGCTTTTTACAATGACGGGAAGGAGTCCGAAGTGGTTTCCTTTCTCACCACTGCCATCGGTAAGGAAGTGGGGTGTTGTCTGTTCGGGTGGGGATTCTGGGGGCTGACACCAACACGGGAATGTCAGAGCCGCGGGTGCTCCCTGGACCTGGCACGAGGCCTCCGGCCTGGCCTGCAGCAGAGGAGTCGGCCGGAAATGCAGGTTGGGAGCCACAGGAGGGGCAGGGAGGCCACTCTGGGCTGGCTCCTGAGCCCAGGCTGCTGCCCACCATCCTCCTGTGCTGGCTGCGGCCTGGTGCGTGGCACAGCAGCTGGGTGTGTGGCACCTCTGGAGAATAGGGGCAGAACTGACAGTGAGGCAGGAATCCTGCGTGACAAGCCACACACAGGCAATGTCTTCTTGCCACTTCCATCCCACCTATTCGCCTTGAGACTCTCACTTGGTTCAACACACGGATTGGTTGCTTGAGTTTTGGTTTGGTTTGGTTTGTTTTGTTTGGGAGCCAATAACCCCTGGCAGATGAGAAAAGAAGACAGAGGCTTGAAGAGAAAGTGAGGATAGCAGTGCAGAGAGCTGGAGGAATAATGCAATCAGTCAGGCTGGGGTTTAGCTGAGAACAGAGATAGCCTAATCGCTGACACAGAGTGAGCCCTGCTGTGCGAAACCAGTGCTGGCACCTTCCGTGTCCCTCACCATGGAATGGGGCCTCAGCTCTCTGGTCAGAGTGAGCCCCTCGGCCACCTCAGAAGCTTGTGGGGGTCTGGGTAGTCTGGCCCCCTATTTAAAGAATTTTTCTACTTTATCAACACATTACATAGGATTTCTCTTCTCCTTAGATTGCCACGGTATGTTTTAGGACATGTCAGTCTAGGTGACTCAGGACAGAAAACATTTTTTTCTGAGTTTATATTGGAAGCACCGTGACTCAGCCTGGAGGTAAAATACCCTACAGGAAAATAAAGCTTATAGAAAAACATAACTCCATTCATTGGAACACCTGGGAATGGGGTTTCTGCTTAATGAAAAGTTCTGTGTTGCTTAGAGTTCACCTGAAAACTCTCTGACTCACTCATTGGCTGGGAGTCCCTATGACATGGAAAAATGGAGTTTAATAAAAAAATCTCTGAATCTGGTTTCTAGGTTTCCAAAACTCTTACAAGACCCTGGTTCTTACTTCTAAACAGTAGGAGTCAATTTCAGGCCAGTTAACCTCTTATTTGAAATTTTGCCCTTAATATTGAGGCAGAGAGTATGTTCCCATTAAATGCAGGGCATGAGTAATAAGCTTCTGCTGTAAATGTGGCCTCAACATTCTACCCTCTTGGGCAGGGGTCCTCAAACTTTTTAAACAGGGGGCCAGTTCACTGTCCCTCAGACTGTTGGAGGGACGGACTATAGTTTTAAAAAAAACTATGAACAAATTCCTATGCACACTGCACATATCTTATTTTGAAGTAAAAAAACAAATGGACAAAAACACCCACATGTGGCCCGTGGACCACAGTTTGAGGATGCCTGCTCTTGGCAAAATGAAGGGGGTAGGGGCATCAGGCAGCCAGGTGTGATGCGGGAACCAGCCTCTGTGCTGCCCTTGATTTGAAGGTGTCTGTCCTAGACACCGGATTCAGTGCCTGGAGGGCAGGGACTTTGGCATGGTCTTCTCCACCTGCCAGCACTCAGCGCAGTGCCCGGGGCGTGGTGTCTCGCAGTGAGGAAGGCAGTGAGCTCCCCTCGGCGGGACTGTCAGTGGCCGCAGTCTGGGGTTTCTCCCCGAATGCCTTCTTGGGTGGAAGTGGGACATAGTGTGCTCAGTTCTGAGTCTCTGCCACTAAGTTGTGTTTCCACCTTGCACAAGTCACTTAGGTTTCCCAGCTCTTGGTTTGTCAGGATTCTAGAATGTGAGGCTGCAGCCAGCTCGGTGGTTACTGGTGATATCAAGGCTGACAGGTTTGACCCTCACCCTCAATTTGGCTGTCACTCGGCAGGGCTTGCAAGGCTGCAGTTCCTTTTTTTTTTTTTCTCTCTTTCTGGACACAGTGGCTTTAGTGGAAGGACATGATTATCAAGTCACGGTGCTGCCTGAGTTACAGCTTCTTGGTCTCACAGCCTGATTTCTCTCAAGCATGGTTCACAAAGAAGCATGAAGTACAGCACTTGCATAGAACTAAGAGCTTTTGCAATCAGGCTTATTTATTTTTAATAACTGAGCATAAATATGAACGGATATTAATGCAAACCCCCAAAGAAAGCTACTTTTAATTAGGATACGCATCTTAGAGGAATAAAATGTAGGTACAGCAAGGTACCTTGGCCAATTCCTGGCTTGTCAGAGCTTGCTAGCCTGTTTTATCATGATTAGGGAGATGGTTTTGCTTTTCCCTGTGGTTTCTCCATTCTCACCTAAATGATGAAACCTGTCTTCACTTTCCCTTAACCCTATAATGTCTTTCAGAGCCAGAGGGTTGGGGAACCTGTGGCCTCAGGGCCACATGTAGCCTTCTGGATTCTTGAGTGTGGCCTTTTGACTAAATCCAAATTTTATGGAAAAAAAATCCTTTTACTAAAGGGATTTGTTCTATGAAGTTTGGATCGATCGATTGATCGAGGGGTCACGCTCGGGGATCCAGAAGGCCACATGTGGCCTTGAGGATGCAGGTTGTGGATCATTCTTAAACACGGTTGAATAAAGGAATCACCTGGGAAATTAGGTAAAAATTCAGATCCCTGGGCCTCTTCTCCAGAATTCACGACTGAGTGGGCCTGCGGTAGAGCCCGGGGAATCCTGATGCTGGTGGTCTTCCAAGGGAGCTTTGAAAACAGACACCTGAGGAGAGCTACTTCCCAGTGCCTCCTGCCCTCACCGCCCTGTGTTAGCTGTGCAGCCAGGGACAGTCATGTCACCTCTCTGAACCTCACTCTTCTTGCCTGGAATAATAATAGTACTTTGCAGTCCCTGTTGTGAAGATTAGAGAAATATAAAGTGCCTAGCACAGGCTTTGGGTTACCATAAGCACTCGATAAATGGAGGCTGTTAATATTCTCTCCCATCCTGTTTCTCCTTCCGCCTTTCTCTTACTGCCTTTCTGACCTGTCTGTCTCCCTTCGAGCTACACTGATTGTTTAATGAATACTGGGGTTTTTTTCTTTAATACAAAAACAGACTGATTCTGATGTTGCTATTAATCCCTCTTTCCCCAAGAGTCCCTGGCATTGAGTCTCAGCTGTCTGTGATCATTACCTGTGAGCTATGTGCTGTAATTTGTCTTGGCAGGTTAATTAAAAGTTTAGGTCTTGTTTTAGTGAAGTCATTATGGTCCCAATATACAATTGTAACTCTCAGGTTTGCTTAACACACAAATTGGAATATGACCCTTCCTTCATTACATGGCGAAATACAGATCTAGAATTTAAGAAGATCTAAGTTGTCAGAATCCAGAGTATTTATGCCTGTTTGTAATTAAGTAACAGGAGAAATAATTATGTTTAATTTAACAAATGGCTATATTGTGTATGTTTTTGCTTTTCCCTCCATTTAATGCAATCCAGCTGATGATTTTAAATTAAATGAGTTTATCTTTTGCCTTAAAAAAAAAATCTAAAAGCACTTTACAAACTGTATACACAAATATATACACACAGAGACCTGATGTTGACAGATCTCCCACTAAACTGGATACATTTACACGCACGCACACACATACACGCGCACGAGCATGTACACACACCCCACTGAAACCAGCAAGTTTTAGAATAAAACCTGGAAGCTCCTTTCAGAAACAGTGGTTGTTCGCCCATGTGCACAGATACAGAATTTGAGGGTACCATTTGGGGTCCTGGCTCGGCTGGGGGTGGGCAGCCTTGCTGACCCCAGGTGTTGAATGCCGTAGGGGGATGTGTGCCACGCTGAACTACACTCCACCCATTGCAGGTTACCAAGGCTGCTCACACACTTCCTTTAAGGCTTGCAGTAACTCCATGAGTGATTGTTCTTATTTTTATTCTCACCCCTGCCGCCTTACAAATGAGGAAAGAGGTTCAGGGATATTAAAAGAAAAGTTAGGACATGAATTTGCATCTTTTTGACTCCAAAACATATAAGCTTCCTTCTTCAAAAATTTGCTTTCTTCCCAAGATCAAACCTCCATTTTGGGTGTTACACTTATTTCTGTTTTCCCTGTGCTCATTCATTAACAGACATTTAAAGAGCGCCTACTATGTGTTGGGAAGCCATGCTTAGCCCTCTTGTGTGCACTTAATCCTCACAAGAACTTTAGACAATAGGTACTTTGATCTTAACTTTACAGATGAACAAATTGAGGTTCAGAGAGTTAGTCCAAAGTTAAAGGCAAAGCTAGGATGGAAACTTGGTCTCCACATCTCACACTGTCCCCACTGTGCCACTGTGTCTCATTATTTGTCATGGTTACCATTAAATATTTTATTTCTATTTGTGCTGTATGGAATATGGTTTCCCCCTTCTTAACTTGCCTCCAATTATAAGCAACCATCTTACGTCAACCCTGGAAGTTTTCTTGAGAAATTGTTAAGACCATGAAGAAAATATCACAGCATCTAAAACTTTAAAAATAAAAATGCCTTTGTATGCATTGCTTGCAGCCCAAAGTCCTAACAATTTAGCATGGCAGTATTTTGGGTCTCTAGATAGCATCTTATCTTTTCATTTTGGTTGACGCTGGAGCGTAAAAGGACAGATCAACCTGACATTGTGGGAATGTGAGCCAAGCTGGAAAATAACAGAGGTACCCTGCAGTGGACTTAGAAATTCAAGAAAAGAAATGAGAAACACTGTTAGAAAATACAGAGACTAGGAGTTTTTATGAGAAACATATTGTGGTCTTTCTGGTTATTGAAATTGAAAAGAAGAGTTCTTTTGTATGGCCAGACAGCCACTGTAAATCAGTCTGTTCTATGTCCAGGGACTAGAAGCATATTTAGTTCTTTCCTTCCCTCCTTCTATCCCTCCCTCCTTCTTTCATCTTTGCTTTCTGTTATCAACAAATATTTCATCCTTGCTCTTTCCTAAACTAGGGATACAGA